TGTAAAGAAACAACCATTCATGCAGTTAACCTAATTATTTCAAGTCTGGTGCAAAAACGCATGATCACACCGGATCGCCTGGTGCGTTCCAGCCTGGGTTTTTTGTTTAAACTTGCATTTTTCGCCTTTTAAACTTGCACTTTTTTGTTATTAGGATAAAATACCAGCTTTGATCCAGAACGGAGGCTATAGATTCCAATAAGACGGTTTAATGTATTTTGGTCAAAGACACAGCTCCCTTTTTAGTAAGACTAAAATTACGACTCCCCAAGTAGGACAAGTCACATATTAGATTAAGGACAGAAGAAATTTTTTTTTGTAAAGTGGCTTATTGCGAAAAACTTGGATTGTTTAAATTCTGCATACAATCCAAGTGCTACAGGTAAATGATACCAAAATAAGTGCGGGGAGGGAGGAGGAGGGGGAGGGCAGAAGAGGCAAGAAATCCAGAAGTCTGTCTGGTTGCGTTCATTCGCTTCATACGAACTCGTGAACGTCCTTCCGTTGCGTAAAACTACGAAACACACATTCCGGATCAAATTTCATCAGCAGCAACTGCTACTTGAAGATTTGGCAAATGCAGCAGTATACGCCCTACACTTCTTCCTTGTCCAAAAAAAGTGGTGATTTTTCTTGGATAATAATCCCACTGCAACTAAAATTATTAGAAATACGGCAACTGATTTGGAGGTTGGTTGTTAATGAGGTGCACGCCCTACGGGCGCCCGTGTTCGACTTTCACATCTTGCAGGAGAACCAGATTTTTGAAAAACGAAATTGTACTTGAACATTGCAGAAGCAGAAACAGAAAATGATCCTTTTTCTTGAGTTTCACCACTGGTACAATTCCCCAACAGTAACAATTCCTTCTTTAGATCGAACGAGAAATAACCGTAGAGATATGGCGAAATGGCCGAATTGAAAACAGCAAACGCGTACAACAACTTCCTAATTATTGCCGGAATTGGGCTGAAAAATGAGTTTGCGTTATTTTTATTGGCATCACTTTTCATTTTAGTCGATGGAGCAATAAGTTCTGGTTATTTATTGTTGTGATAACGTCAGAAGAAGCGAGGATGAGCCCTGGTGCCAAGACAATAGGGGATGTTCGTTTTATCATTGCTTTTATGAGAATAAAAGTTTGGTATGCGCATCTATTATCGTTCTTCACCCGTCGGCTCCGTTTAGTCCTAGCAACATTTAACAAGGTGGATCGAGTCAGCGGTTCACGTTTGGCTTTCGAACCAGGGACTATCTGATCATTACAGCACAGCAGATTTCACGTGATTCGGGGCTTTTTGCTGTTTTACGGAGCTTGGATTTATTCGATTAAGTCGATCAGCAATCGATCTGTTATCACGTTACGCCAGCTATCGATTTCTGCTGGGAACCCATAAAACAGCTTAATGCATTATCTAGATTAAAGGAGAATTCAACCTGGGCTGAATGGTGAAGTGGACCAATGACGCAACAGCATACGGTGTCCAGCAGAGTAGGAATGCGATCACCACAACAAACGTCACCTTCAGCGTTCGACTCCACGCACGCTCGTACGTTGCAACTGATCGACGCAGTTTTGTTGCTGGACTGCCAGTGGTACTACCTTAATGTTTCAATTGATGAAAGCAATTAGCATCAATTTGCAGCTAAATTTGG